TCACACTCACTGGTTTTATCTGTGGACTAGTGAAAAGTCAGTGGCTTGCAGCCTTCTTTTCACTAGCGGAGATGATCAGAATCCCACAACGTCCTTTTCCTTTGCCGCATTATTTTTTGACCTCTTTCTGGACTAGGGATGGAGTTTAGCCCAAGAGTTGTGGCCAGTGAAATGCTGACGAGCCCTGGGCCGGAGTGGCAGGAGTTACGGACAGCTGTTGGCTAGGTGGGACTTTGTGCCCTAGCTGTTTCTGCCGGGGCTAAATGCAGCTAAGGAGCCTCCCTGAATTTTCAGCTTCATGGCATAAAAGGAGTTAGAGCGCTGTACAACCTCACCTTTTTGGAGTAAAGTCCCCTAAATGAGTTTGGCTTTAAAGTCTAGAAGTCCCTAGCGGTTTAGATAGATGTCCTCTTCTGAATGCAGCAGGTAGATATATCCACCGTCATTAAGTGCAATGCTAGCCTGAAAGGGGACGGAAATTTACTCCCTTAAAATCCCACTGACAGGACCAGTCCAGCTAGGACTGCATGCTTTGCCCTGCTTCATTAGTAAGCTGTAAAAAATATTGCTCTAATATGAATGCTAAGGCATTAAATCATGCCGAATCCAAATTCATAACAATTTTACATCCCAGCATGGTCTTTTCTCCCAGTGTTTTTCTTCATCCCACACTTCATAATCACTTCTCCTCCTTTAACTTGAAGATTTTCATCTGTTTTGGGTCACCTGTATTTCTCAGTCTATCCAATTTCCTAAAGTAATAGTCGACCATAATTACTAAATTATCTGACTACTTTATATCCTCCTTTAATTGCCTGCGTATTGCCAAAGGTATTGCTCACGTGCTCAGCGTTTGGTGTTTGGTCATGTTGTAATGAGTTACAAATGTCACCGTGTCATTTTCAGAACGGAGAGCGCATTCAGCTTTCTGCCTGGCGTGTGGTGTCCCTTCTGCTGCAGAATGGGCTGTGCTATTGAAACTAGGAAGTTTTTCCCCTGTAGCCTCGCTGCAGGGAATGTCTGTTAAGGTGATCTAGAGTAAAATTCCAAACGTTTCAGGTAGACCTGAAAACATCATTTGAAAAGAGTTGAGGCAGAGCTCGGGAATCGTGATCAGCCCCGCAGTCTGCGTGGCCCTTGTTGTTGTCACGTCTTGGGGATGATGTGACTCTTCAGCAGAGCAGAGCACGTGGCGTCTGAACGCTTTCGAACCAAAGCTGCTTTCCTTGCCTTCTGATTTTTCTGCCTAAAAGCAAAGTTCAAATGCTGAAGACCAGACAAATCATGCAGTGTCCTCCGGACAGATGATTCCTGACCTGAGAAGAAGGATGGTTCTTCCGATAAAATTCCGATCAGATGTGCAGTGAGTTTGACACAGAGATAACACAGGCTGCAGCTCATCTGGAAAATGAGGAGCTACAGGCTGCGTCTTCCCAGTGCTCGTGTGGGGAGCTAAGACGTGGGCGTTGCTGCAGAATAGCTCCGCTGGAGGTGTTTCATGTAAACTGGCAGGGTCACCTGCTTGATGCGGAGAGGGATGGTTCAATGCACAGCGCCGACGTCTTGGCTAAGTCCCCGGCTCCAGACGAAACCTCCTCCGTCCCGCGGGAGGAGGCGGCAACGGCGTCGGTGGCGTGCTCGAGCAGGACCTCGCATGGCCAGAGCATCGCTTTGGGGCCACTGTCGCCGAACCGAACACGTCTGGAGCAGATCTGAGCGCAGAAAACGGCCTTTCGGGAGACAGGAGCGTGGGGAGTGGGTCTGTAATTGCAGTAACCCAGTGATTAAGACATTAGCCAGAGACTGGGGAATTCATAGACTTGCCTTGGTTTTGCTGCAAGCTCTCAACATCAGCTCTCCATAGGTAAGAGGGTGACAGCAGCTCTCACAAGCGGTCGGAGGGAGAGTGCCCTGCAGCGGCAGGGCGCCGAAGGTGCCCACTTGCGCTGCGACGAGGACGGTGGCAGGCTCTGCTCTGATGACCCTGCAGAAGGCAGAGCAATACTTCATTTGTTGAAATTCTCTGGCTGAGAGTCTAGCAAGCATATGGCCGGTAAGGCCAGGAGGGAAGGAGCAGTTGTTATCTCAGTGAAAACTGTTATCAGCAAAAATAGACTTGGAAGCTGTATTTTGTAATTAATTTAATTTAGTGTCACATTCTGCTTTTGAGCTGAACTCATCCTTGCAGACTCAGAAGTATGGGAGAGTTTTCTGGGGCTCGTGGTTAGTTGTTGCTGTTATTCCGGAGATGTTCTTGGATGTTTCAATCAGAAACATGAATAGTTCTGGCATTTGTGCTCACCAGACTTTGTTACTGCATTTGTCTCACAGCTTTTAAACAGCAGAAAACATGTACAACGTATTTAAACAACACCAGAGAAATTAAGGTCATGAGAATGCATCGTCAACAAATGAAGATAAAGAAGAGCTGTTGTTTTTAAAAAAAATGTTGCAAGATGCTTTTGAAATTCTACATCCCAAATTCAGAGTCATGTTGATGATTTATTCTAATGTAGGAAAACATCATCAAGAGTGACAAGTAAGCTAGTCACTGTCTAGTCACCTGCCAGCAAATATTTCATAACGACTAAAAAGGCTGGTACTGCCTTGCTGAGCTGACACTAATTATTTCAGTATACACGGAGCTTTGGGATTCGTGTTAATTCTCAAGTCTGTCTTTAGTTCAGACTCATTCCACTGTGTAAACTCAGCAGAGCACAAATTATTTGACCATCCTTTCGTAATCTGTCCCCACGCTCGTTGCCAATTATATAAACTGATCCAAATACCTGCTCTCAAAGGAACCCCGTTTGGGAACCACAAGCCAATTAAAAAAAAGGGGGGGATATCCACTCTTCTGTAGCGGGTGTCTGGTAGTCCTCTTTCATGTTGACATTCGTTTCTGGGTATCTTCTTTAGATAACATTGTTTCCATCAGTGTTTAGAAAAGATTCGTTTCTGGTGATAAAGCAGTCTTTAGAGAAAAACTCTACTGGATGCAGCACATTGCGTCCCACAGGAAGGATGACTTCAACGATTGCTACCCGTATCCTGAAAGTCCTGAGAGAGTCCCCTGCAGCCGTAGCATGATGCCGTTTCTTTGTTCATTGCGCTCTTAAGTGAATATTTTTAGAATAACATCTAAATATTGAACAGTAGTGCAGTGATCTTGCAGCAGCTCAGGGACTGTGCTTGTTAAAGGTGTATAAAACAGCAGTGAGGCAAACACAAAACACCAGTCACCTCGGTGGCGTGCATTAGCATGAGAGAGGATGTGAAAAACGTGGCTCTGTACGTGACTGGAAAAGACCACACTTGTCTGTTTGGTGAAAATTCAGCTCTGTTCGGAGTGGCTCATTTTTAAGGTGTGCGGTAAAAATAGCCTCATTTTTTCACAAATGCTTCTAACTACGGCAGTCGGTGGATATTTGTGCACCGCAGGTAACACAGATCAGAGCCACGATCAAGCTGTGAGAATGGCCTCCTTGCTGTGATGTCTAGCTTGCGTCGAGCAGAAGGTCTGTGTGGCTCTGGAGCTGCCGCGTGGCCGCGTGTGCTCTTCAGTTTGCAGTTGACTGCCTGCTGCAGTGCCCTTGCAGATCAAGGATTGAAATGTATTAATAGGTGGATTTGTATCGAACTATAAGTTTCTAAGCAAATGTTCTCCCTCAAGTCAGTGCTTACCGGGTCTGCAAGTGTTTGTAGGTTGTTTAAGTTTTTATGTTTGGAGAAGGTATAAAAGTTAGCATGGCTTAGGATTGCAACCACCTCAGAAAGACCTTTTGCTATTTTTTCCTAGTACAATTTGGTGTTTTGCATTTTGAGGGGGGGAGGGGAGCTGTGAGAATGGCTGAAAACTGTGACAGTTTGGAAATAATATTCCCACTGGATCTTAACCTCAAATCAAGAGAAGGTGGCTTCCAATCTTGCCGACTTACGAAAGTTTAAACATTTTCTAGGGGAAGTGCAAGTCACCATATGGTGAATTTAAGCTGTTTTCACCAAGTGTGTCTTTGCTAGTTATCTTTTTTTTGGAGGGAGGACTTTTCAAAAGTCACGCCCGGAACTTTAGAAGGCTATGGAGTATTTAACTGCTTGGACTGGATAACCTCTTAAGAGCCTCTCCAAATCTACATTTTGTTGATTTGTCATTCTGTAAGGCAGAATTTTTCTGACGATGAACCAGCATCTTTAAATCCAAAAAAATGTTCCATCCTTTCCATTTTTTTGCGGCAGCATTTTAATTGACCAACACCAATGTTTGCCACGGGCAAAATCAGTAATTAAAAAAAAATTATAAAGAATGACTCAAAAGCGCCCAGTAATGACAAAGAAAATTATGTATTGACTAAGATACATTGCACTTGCCAGGCTACATGACTAGGGAGATATATATGGGGTTGGTATTCAAAATCCAGCTCTTTAAAAAGGTCATTCCTCATGAAGCATTAAAAAGTTGAACTAATTCACCTTTGCGGCAGTGGAGCTGCCTCCGGTCCCGGTTTGTTGGCTTTGGCAGGATCCATCTGCAGAAGCACAGACTGGAGGTTTACTGTAACCCTGTTAGTGCCAATGAGCAGGGTAACTTCATACCCAGCTTCACAGTGTGAACTTCCTTCACACTGAACCCACAAAGCAGACTGTAAAGGAACTTTCTTCTTTTTTTGTATTCTGGTAGGTTGCATTTATTAGAAATTTGCAGAAACTTCTTTACCCCAATGTGCCACTAAAGCTCCCTGCAGCTGGTGTAATGAAGACGATATATTCTGGGAGGCATCTTGATTTGAGAGTGACAGCTCCATATATTTGTGAAAATGAAGTGGTAGCAGGGTTGCCAATAAAACATATTGTGCCTTTGTGATGCAGAAATACATCATGCTAATAACAATAATTTTCACAGCTATGTGTGACCGTTTGCATGCGGGGAAGCGCTACTGTTGGAGAAGTCCAAAGAAGCAATAGAGAAGCTAACTGGTTTTGCTTTCATGTTTCCCAAACAGCAAAAAGGAAGGAAGACCGTGCCTGGGGAGGTCACCCAGCAGCAGAGCGACACTCTGCTACCATGGCGCCAGCACCAGAACGCCAACGGCCTCCGCCGGCAGAAGAGGGACTGGGTCATCCCGCCAATCAACGTACCAGAAAACTCAAGAGGGCCCTTTCCACAGCAGCTGGTTCGGGTAAGTTTAAAAAAAAAAAAATCAAAGTAATAATAATGGTAATCCTGCAAGAGGTCTAGTGAAGCAATAGGTGCGGGCCAGGCTTTGTAGCGTGGGAAATCCGGCTGGAAAGGCAGGCTCTGCGCTCTTCCTCCCTCGTGCGAGAAAAGTTGCTGAAGCCGCTGAAGCCCTTCTCTTCCAAAGCGAGTTGTCCAAGTTCTGCCTCCCCCAGCCAGAGAGCAGCCTAATCGCCTCCTTCCAGCCAGTCCCTCAAGAGACGTTGGCATCGCTGCCAAGGTGGCAGCATGCCCACGTTCTCCTCCAGCCAACGCCTGCAGGTGTAAAGCTGGGCTGGGTGACGCCCAGCGCTGAGAGGGTGGCGCATCCTTCCCCGCTCCGCAGCATGGCAGAGCACAGCTGTACGGCCGCGGCCCAGGGAGGCTGGCCACGCGCCGCCGCTGCAGATGTAGCCTTCGTCTTTGGCATGTTGCTAGTGTCCTTCTTTACCAGGATGATCACTGAGATCGAGTTTACCTGCATGGTTTTTTATGATGATTCTTGGATGAGAGAGAAAGAAAAAGAAGAGAAAAAAGGACATTAAAAGACATACTGGCATATCAGCATTGGTCGCTTGCTGCTGCTAAGTGTTAGCAAAATACAAATATGTGTTTCTTTTCCTTTTGTGGGTAATGATTTCAGTTTTCAGAGCACTAGAAAGATTAGCTGTTCAAAAGTCTACCCCCTCGTAGACTGTGAGGAACTGTGGTGTGTAATTGGCATCCCTTCTCAGGAAGTTCGCCTAGTCATCTTGAGACAATGCCTGGATTAAAACAAATTGCCATCGTTACCTGCTTCACACGATTAGCTGATATTCTTCTGCGTAACCAATAGCTAGGAAGAAAAAAGAGCTTGCTGAATCCTGTAGAAGTTGAGGTGAACTTTGCGATGACTCATGTAATGACTGAAGGTGCGTGTTCCCAATTCAGCAAGTACTGGGTGCACTTGAATTGTCGGTGTAATTTCTTGGTGCAAATTAGGGAAATACAACAAGGAATGAAATAGTACCGGGAACGAAACCTCAAATGTTTTTATGTCTGTCCTAGAATAAAAGGGAGGGAAGCCAAGGAGTTTTTGTGTGTTCAGTAGTGCTAGGTATGGTATAAACCATTAACCCTGTCCCGCTCCCTGCTGGTTTCTTTTGAGCTTTGACTAGAGGTGAGAGGACCATCTGACACCACCTTACCATGGGAAATTTATTGGTTTATAAGAACTGAAGTCTCTGTGGTGCTTTTCTTCCCTACAGTCTGGAGGTGAAACAAATGGCCCTGAGCATGCGAAAGTCCTATATTAATGAAAGTGGCAAACGTTAAATTTTCTATAGGTACAGAAGAACTGATATTCATTACTTAAACTACCAGTAGCCTTGGAAAGGTGACCTAGCTGATGGAAAGACAGAGCTCCCAGATTGTCACAGAAATTTTTTCCGTGGTGGTTTTAAAGTATAGATGCTACAGGAAATACTGAACATGAAATAAAAAATGGGCTAGGAAAGAGAGAAATGGTTTACAGAGGGCTGCTTTCCTTTTCTCCTAGTATATGGAAAGTATCATAATGACTGGGAAGATCATAGCTTTGTACAAATAGTGCAACTTAGTTAAGCATGAGAAGTTCTGATGCTTCGGGCTTGGGTCTCGTATTTCCACCCCTCTGCAGCACCTGGCCCATTTCCTGACCCCCAGCTTGGGTGAGTCCTAGCAGGAGTTGCAGCTTTCCCTGGTAGACTCTGCTCTTTAATTATCCAGGATAGGACAAATCGACATTTCGGAAGACCAGCACTATGTGATTATTTCCATCCACGTCATCTCCAGATTGCCGTGGGGCATTCTGCCGTCTCTGAGAGCTAGGTAACCAGTTTGATCTGATTTCTCATGCTCTTGCTCATTGGGCACTGAATATTTTCATGTCCATCTGCTTGCACACTGCAGCAAGAAGTGCACGTGTGAACTTGCAGCATAGATGCTATTTGTATGGAAAGAAGTCTGTCACGGTTTTCTCTGCTAGTTTTTATAAAGCGTTCAAAGCTAATATTAGTTCCTGGATGTTGAACTTTCTTTTGGTCCCAAGAGCCCTGCTTGAGCTTACGTTTCATAGGTATAACTGATGAAAACCAGTTCCTTCATTATGATATCTTTGGTTCTGGTTACATCCAAGCTGAGGAAGGGATGGCATGAAAAATCCAAAACCAAAAAGCCGTACCAGAAGTACATTTTCATAGTACTACTTGCTGTTTGCGTTTTTATAGGTCAGACTAATTTGAAATGCATAGACAAATCTTTCGGGTTCCCTCCTACTCTTGCTTCCTAGTGTGAAGGCAAAAATTCCATTTTATGGAAGTTGATTAGTTACTTGTCAGTATTTTTAGCAAGGCTGTGCCTGAATGAAGTTTAAATCATAGTAAAGGTGAATACAGCTTGATGGGAGCCACATACCTTGAAATGCATCCCTGTCTGGTTCAGCTGGGATCCACTGTCATTCTCTGTTCATTAAAGCATTTCATTCTGATAAAATACATTAAATGAAAAAGTTAAAAGGAGAAAAAGAAAGGAAGAAGTCACAACATTATCCCTGTCAAAAAAAACCTATCTGTTAATTACTTTTTTTTTCCCCCAAAGGAACATCCATGTCTGTTCATATTCATCAACCCTACTCACTAGTTTAGTGAAAATAACATGTTAAAAAGAATGATAGAAATTTCTAGTTAGTTCAGGCTGCTGAAGAATTTTACTTAGAAATGCAAATAATGGACCGATTCGTCAGATGGTGTAAATAAACATTACATATAGAAGCTAAAAATAATTTTTCATTGGTATTAAAAATGTTTTACAATTTTCGGTTTTGTCAGTGAGCTGAAAAATCAGTTACCAAATTTTATTGATATCTGCGTATTTATTTTGCAACATTTATGAATATCTTAGTTTCTTTGTGCTTCACTTCCACCTTTGTATTAGGAACAATATTTTACATGCTGTGAAATATTTCACTGTAATTAGGATAATTTCATTACTAATTGTCAGGTACTCTCATGTTATAGCTATGAGGTCCATAAAAATGCCTATTAAAAATACAAAAACAAAATGAAATCCCCCTCTCTCCCCAAGCAAATGACTCATACAGCCAACTAAGATAATACGTTAAATAGTTGCTTCGTTTGCAGTACCCTACATTTTCCTTTCTGACTCATCCTCTTTAGCTACATGTGTAGCTAATTATTAATTGTCTATTATCTAATTATCTATTAGCTAATTCTGTATTTCATCCTCTTTTAAACTTCAAAAAGTATCTCAATTTTGGATCCACATGCAGTAGCATCTTCTAACGGGATTGTTGAGTCAATTTTCCAGACTGAAGTCTTGGCCTTTGCACTGGGCTGTATAAAAATCATTCATTTAAAAGAGAAACGGCCCTGTATGGGACAGCCATTAGTCATGGCAAGCTTGTATAACAGGCTCTTTCCTCAACCCCTGCAACCGTGTTCATCCATATGAATCATCCAAACTTCCAACTTTACCTCCAGGCACTTTCCAGAGCACCTTCTGATGTGACCACCCCTAGCTTTATCTGCACTGACCATAATTTTAAAATGTGGATTTTACCCATAAGATCTTTTCTGGTAAAGAACTCAGTGTTCGTTCTCATTAAGCTGGCATGAAAAGCCGTTGGGGATGACCGAGAACAGGATCTCAGCACCCTTACAAACTGTCTTGATTGCGTGCTAGAGACACAGCATGCTCTCTAGTATCTGAACGCTGGTAATCTCAGACACAAGAATACTAGAAATAATCTAATGTGTATAGCAGGGAATAAGAGAGACAGATGCATTTTATGTAAATTTAATCAGAAAGTCTTGAAGTGGTTAGGAAAGTTGGTGGAATATAATAAACCTGAAGACTCTTTTGTTGCTTCTTAGGGGAGAAGCCGCTGATCAGCGGAGCTCGCTGTAGCACAGCGCGCGTTAAGGAGGCACAGGGCTCTTGCGAGCGTGCTAGGAGCTGTGAGGTGGGCTTGTGGAGGCGGTTAGCACATGTTAAGCTATGCAGTGAAACTGGGTATTTAATATGAAAAAAGTTGATAGTGCCCTCAAGAGCTCTACAGCCTATTTGTACGGCATAGCCCATTTTAGCTCCGGAAATACCTGTAGCGAGATGGTTCTCCAAAAGTCTAAAATCGCGGTGTTTGACGTACACATCAGGTATCCCACGCTGAGAACTCCCCACAGCTTGGACAATCAGCCCTTGATATTGCCATTTCCTTTGCTCATCAGAGATACTGCAGCATGCACCTTTGCACGGTTTTCAGTAGTTTTATTGTATGAAGTCCCTCATGCGTCCTGGCTCAGCCATGTTGCTTACGGCTGTGAAATTGGCGGCTCAGCATCCATTAACTCCCAGCTGCAAGACAGATGGCATCTGTCGGTGGGTAAGAGAAGGTTTGTTGAGAAAAGGCCTTGCAAATGCTTCCCAAAGGACTTCAGACCTTCCTTTTCCTGAGAGAGATACGGACAGCCTTGATTACAAATAGGCCTAGATCTGCCTCGTTCTTTGTGCGAACAGGTGGTTTTTTCGCCTTACCAACCACACGCACAATGAAAAGGACAGTTCCAGCTCTCAGCACATGTTGCCTTTGGTACCGCTGTGAGCCTCGCCAGCTGAAGTTCGTGCGCTTAAGGCACTTCAGTCTCGGTTGTAGCAGCCAGAGAGAGACGTGAAAGCTGAGAGGGTGAGGAGGAGATGGGACCGTTTCTGCAGTGGCGCCAGCCAGCCGGGTCGCTCTGCGGAGCCGCAGCTTTTCTTTGAAAGCTGTTTAAAGGATGGTAGAGTCCAACAGCCCTCAGCTCTTGGCTGTGGTTTCATAACACAAACCAGCCTGAAGTCCAAACAGAAAAAGATTAACGGGAAAAGGTTTTATTAAGCCCGGGCAGATGTTGCCGCAGTCTCAGCTGTGGCATGGAGCTGCGCTGTGTG